TATACATTTTCTTTTTAATTTAAATGAAAAATAAAATAATTACCTAATTTGGGCCTCTCTCTCTCTCTCTCTCTCTCTCTCTCTCTCTCTCTCTCGTAGGAAGGCACCATAGATCTGTACAAACACTTTAATGTCCATGTGACCTCTTAATACCCCCAACCCCAAATTTAAGAAACCCAAGAAAAGTAGAAATGAACGATCGATCATTCGATCTTCAAGCATCCTGCTCTACGAACCGAAGTTCCACTCGTTGCAGAATCTGAGAATCAAGTTCTCCTCAATGGCGGTGGTGATGTTTGTCCGTAGTTTCATTCCAATTACCAAGTCACATTAGGGTGCAAATGTTCGTAAACATGGTAGATCTGAAGACGAAATCCGTCTCTCTACCTCTTCTCATCAACGTCAGTCTTCAGTCGCGAGCTTATATTTCTGATCTTCTCCTTACACAAGCTCTTTTCAAATCCCACCTTCATCACAACTGTTGGAAGCCCTAGTTGTATCGTCTGTCTGAACCATAACGCCACCATCAGATGAGAACATTCACCGAGAAACCCTAGCCACCATGAACATCCCAAATATGTGTTTTCAGATTTTCCAGGTCTGATGGGGTTTCCCTACACATGAACATCCAAGATGTAACACCGAAATTTTCAAAACAAAATTTAAAATAGTTTATCTCTTTAACACTTTTCATAAAAATCTCCTTTTGTTTTAAATTATAATACATGACTCTTTTTTCAGTCACTTAATAAACCAGGATCCTCAAACAAACTTTTCCTCTGGTGTATACAATCAAGCCGGTGCCGTCCCGTGATCCTAAGAAGACCTAAAACACATAGCACAAAACACTGTAAGCACGAAGCTTAGTGAGTTCCCCAAAATACCATACATAACACATACTAGCCACTCGAGGCTATAACTCTGTGGGCCCCTGGGCCCTAACTTTGTGAACCCTCTAGTCCTAGCTCTGCGAACCTTCCGGTTCTAACTCTGATATACTTTGATATACACATGGAATAAATCACATAGAAATAATGCAGTGCAACACATCACATAAATAGCATACATTAACTCTGTCACATAACTCTAATTACCACTCAAGGTAACGTATAGTAAGAAGACTCACCTCGGATATCTCAGTAAATCTCTGACTCGGTAGAAATATGGTCTAGCCTCCGCCTGATCACATAAGGTAAATACTCTCATAAATATAACTCTCGAGACTAGACTCAACTCTCTCTTGGCATCCTCAGAAGGGTAAAAGACCATTTTACCCCTCTCTTGGCTCAACGGCCCCATTGTTGACCAAACGCTAAAAGTCAACAAAAGTCAACGGTCAAACTTTGACCCGACTCGGCGAGTCTACACGTGTTCACTATCTCTCTAGTCTTGCTTGGCACGTCGAGTCTTTCCACTTGCTCGACGAGCTACACCTGGCATGAATCGCGGGGCTACCCCGACTCAACTCGCCGAGTCTTAAGATCAACTCAATGAGTTCCACCTTGAACTCCAGTCCTCTATCCCCCCTTCTGACTCACTGAGTCATTTCCCCCCAACTCGGCAAGTTACTCATTGAGTGACTTTCGGGAAACCCTAGCCCTACTCGCCAAGTCTGCCCTTGGACTCAGCGAGTTCATGCCATGCATAAACTCAATTGGCCTCCTGAGGTCAGATCTGTTCCTTTAATCCATAGATCTGACCTTCCCAAGCCTGATACTCATGTAAAGCTCGGATCTTGACACTCATGTGACGTCTAGGAGGTTTCACTTGGTGATTTAGCCCCAAAAACAACACCCTAAGCTCATTACCTCTATAACTCAACATAAAGCAAGCTGGAATAAGCTCTTTAGACCATTATGGGCCCAGATCTGAAGTCTCAATACGAATAGGGGCCATATTCTCACAATTCATTCCAATAAAGGACATAAAACCCTACATATATGGATTCCTTCAACAAAACAGATAAAGGGGCGATATAATACCTCAAAGATGAAGTCTTTTGATAGAAATCCCCAGATGCACAACCTCTTTGGTCTCCTCTAAGCTAGAATCAACTCCTTCTTGCAAGAATCAACCACAAAGATCAAGAAATGGCTCCTTTCTTCTCATGAACGCTCTAGATCTTTTAGGCTTTCTCTCTGGGGTTTGGTAGCCGCAAATGACGGCCCTAAGGGCCTTTAAATAGGTCCCAAACCTGGGAAATTGGGGTTTCATAAAATAGCGCGGACTCGCCGAATCCACTCATGAACTCGCCGAGTCCGGTCATTAATCCGGATGAGAATTCGTGACCCTACTTGACGAGTCTAAGCACCAACTTGTCGAGTCCCTCCACAAACTCCAAAATAAATGAATCAAATAATAGACCTGAGAATCCGGATGTTACACAATATATTCAAATAAATTAACTTAATAGATATGGGAATGTCAATCTCATGGAGAACAACACCATATGTGTGTTTTTTTGAGTTTGGAAAATAAGACCTTCATCATCTAGTTTTCAAAATTCTAATAGATTCAACAAGCCTATTCTTATTTTAATCGTGTAAATCGAGGTGGGTTTGAAGTCAGGTGGTAGATTCTTTTTAATTTCAGTTATCATGCTTAGATTTGAATTAGAATTTAAGTTGCAGGTTAGATTTTAAGTTTAAGCTCTTGGTTTTGATTTGAGGTTAGAATTAGAGTTCAATAATGGTAGTGGATGTCGTGATTGATTGTTGTTGTTGGAGGTGAACTGTGGGGTTTGTTGGAGGTGAACTGTGGTGTTTGTTGGAGGTGGAAGCAGACGGTGGTCATAGGGTGGTGGTGGTGCCGGACGGTGGTCAAAGGGTGGTGGTTGTGGTAGATATTTTTGAGTTCATGAATATGTTCTTGAGTGTTCTTGAGATTATGAAGGTGTTCTTGGGTTTTGGGAGAGAGAGAGAAAGAGAGAGAGAGAGAGAGAGAGAGAGAGAGAGAGGTCCTCTATTATTTTTTAATTGTTAAAATAAATATATATTAAATTTTCATAAAAATGAAAGAAAAATGAAAAATAAATACTCCAATGGTATTATAGTCATTTCAATTTTCGGAGGGACTATTTTCACATACAAATCACTCCAAAAGGACCATGAATCCAAAAAGTTTAGGGTTTGGACTAAAACCCCAAAAATTTGCGTACCACAGGGACCATTTTTGCAATTTTGTCATATATATATATATATATATATATATATATATATATATATATATATATATATATATATATATATATAGGATGATGTTCAATAGAGAACTATAATTAACCAAAGAACCAATTTTTTCAACTTTTAGAACTTATTTTTTATAAAAAAAAAAACTAAAAATATAGAAATTCATAACTTTTTATCATTTTTCCAATGATATCAAATCAATTTTTTTTACGTCAAATTCACAATGTGAATTTTTGAAAATTCACAACGTAAATCCGGATTCACACGGTGAATCCGAAAAATATTTTTCACATTCACAATGTTAATATATGAATTTAAATAGTTTTTAGATTTTTTTTTCGATAAAGAATAAGCTTTAGAAATTAAAAAAAAAAATTGGTTCCTTAAAAAACCAATAATTATGGTTCTCTATTGAACTTAATATATATATATATATATATTATATATATATATATATATATATATATATATATATATATATATAATGTAGATTTTCTTTGGATTTTTGAGGAATTTTGTTGGAATTTTGAGGTATTTCACCATATTTTCTTTTTTTGGTCGCTACTGGATTTTTTAAATCTCACGCGTGTATCCCACCGTCTCAATCCTCCATTATATTTTTAAATTTTAACACATGTATCCCACCATACGTCTTTTCCACCGCTTTTAATTCCTTCTTCAAGACTCCTCTTTTTTCTATTTTTCTATACCTCACTCGTAATCAACTAGAATTTAAAGCTCATGCGACATCCCCTCCTATGTTCTTCCTTTTTCTATTGGAAACGATTCGGTTTTTGATTTTTGAGTAGGTCACTTGTCCGACGAGTTTATTAAGCTCCCTCTTTCACTCGAACTGGTCCTCCCTCTCTCATTCCTATTCTATTCATGTGAAATTGGGGATTTTTAGCATTTTTTTTGTTATTGGTTATGTATTTATTTCTTAATGAGCGATTGTGGTTCCAAACATTGGATTTCTTCTTCAGGTAATTCTCTCTTCCAGTGATATCCTCTATTGCTTGGTTATCACAAAATACACACGAAAGTAACCCTAACGTTCTCCTCTCTAACCCTAAAAAGTCGATGTTCAACTCTCTCGACCAGCACTGCTCCACAACCATCACCACCTACTTTTCTCTCTCCTAGATACTACCATCAGAAAACTTTGATTTCTTTAGTTCTTCATGTATCATCTTTGTTTGATTTTGAAACTGGTGTTTCTTTGCAGCATGAAGTTGTGCATGTGTTGTTCTAAGACCGATTTCCAAATGATCTATGGTTTTGATTTTAGGGCTTTTTGGTTCTTGGTTACCGATTAAAGGTAATAATTCTTCTTTCAATTCCAATGTTTTTTTTTTGTTTTTTTCCCTTAAATTTTGTTCTTTTCTGATGCATCGATTGAGGATTTTAGCATCTCATTTCTCTGATGTTGTTTTCCCCAATTAGGAATGCTCCCAAGTACATCGTCAAGATTTGAAAAAAGGTAGACTTCGTGCTTTTCTTTCCCTCTGCATCGCCACCTCCAACTAATTTGAAAGAACACTTGCCACTGACTATAATCAAGCTGTAGATTCGACATATCTGCCATTTTGGCTGGTCAGCATCCTATTTACCTTTTTTAGTGTCTTCTTTCCTTTATTAAAGGTACAATTGTGTCATGGATTGAGATACATGAAGAGATGGGATCAAAGGGTTCTAATGTTGTATGTAAGTATTTACTTATTTACGATTTCGGTAAATCATTATTCAATCCCTTCTCTCTCTACTTTAACATGGGATTCTCTTTTTGTGTTTGGCATTGTGAATTTAATTTAGGTTCAAGTTGGATCAAACCCACAAATTATATTAGAAATGTTAAATTTCTAATGGTTGATTGCCACTCTCATGATGGATTTACAGTGCCTCTTTTGCAGTTGACATATAATCCTAACCATAGCATAACTTCATATCCATTAATTGAGGAGAATGGAGATCAGGTTGAAGATAATGGCCTTTAATGTTTAAAGTCCACCAAAAGTCCAACTTTTAACCTTCTTCCTCTTGCTCTCACTCAAACTCTACCATAGTTTCAATTGAACCGTATACATTTCTCTTCTAGCTATGTCAAGGTTCTTAATTTTTTTCTATCTCAAATTTTTATATGGTAATATTTGTTTAGTAAGTAAAGATGAAAACTCTATACTGGATTGGTTGTAGAAACAAGTAATGATGATATATTCATAACAAATACATACATATTAGGTTTTTCTATCTCAAATTTCCGACAGGTTCTTGACCATAAGCAATTCTTTCTTAGTAGTAAACATTAAGTATTTTTTTTCCAATCAAACAAAAAAAGCTTCAATCTTTTTTTCAAATTAGCCATTTTGTGTTGTTATATTTGGTTTTAGATGTAACTTTGTGATACCATATTTCACGACCCTTTCTTATTGTTTTAATAGGAAGAAATTTGGAACCTCATGATTCTTCTCAAGTTACTTATTCACCAGTGGTTGATGAAGACCTTCTCATGATTATGAAGGTAAATATTTTGTAATTAATGTATTATACTATGTAGATTCTGTCTAACTATAGCATTGTACTTTCAAATGTTTTTCTTATTCGAACGTTATACATTGAGAAATCTACCTAACTATAACATTAAAGTTTGATTTGTGTGCTCGTGACACTTAAAATAGTATTTTAGTTTAAGACAAGGAACATTGAGCTTGATGGAAAACAGTTAAACTACAAATATAGGACTGCTCGTCAGGAATGCATACTGAATGACTTATTGATGTCCTAGCTCCTGTTGACAGCATTGGCATCAAGCCCATGAGTAATATCTATAATCTTTTGATTTGTTAGTTTTATCATGTGTTCCTATGATTGTGTCTGAATGCCACTGCTTTTCCATTCGTTAAGGGAGCGGTTTCTTTTTTCTTCTGATGTTGTAAATGAATTAAAGGTCGTTGGTCAAAGCAATTATGAGTTGGTATACTTGTATGATGTACATCTTGTGGATGCAGTATGGAAAGAATCAAAGTTAATTCCTCTAAACGTACCTATGGGAGTGTTGAATTAAATATAGGGTTATTGTCACTGTAGCCCAATAATGTTTCGTATATTGGTTTAAATGGTTCCTCTTGATTTTTTTTTTTTTTTTTTTTTTTTTTTTTTTTTTTTTGCGTTTAAAGGGTACGAACTTGTGTTTTACCGGTTAATTTCGTATCTTTACCTATTTTTGAAGGTTACACTGCCTTTGTCACCTGCCAACTAAGCAGGTGTCAACAATGATTCGGTGGTGAGTCGACTCATCGTTGCCACATAAGCCAAGAGTCTAAGCACACAACCGAACTTCGTCTTCTTCATCTAAGAGAAAAGCAAAAATACCCAAACTTTTGGTTCCTTTGTGTTCTTAATCGGAACCCAAAAGACACCTGACTAACACAACCTTCATACCTATTAATCCAAACCCAACATCAAAATCCCCAAAGACACCTGATCCCCCCTTACTGATATCCTAATTAGAACTTCAATTCATCGCCGTAAAACCATTGAATACACAACCATCATCACCAACTGTTGTCTGTGCTAAAAATAAAAGAAACATAGAGGCGATTCAGCAAGAAAAGGGAGGGGTCTTCAATTCAGCTCAACATGATCAGATTCAGAGCGATTTAGCTCAACATGCTCGGATTCAGGTTATGACCAATCGAAGGTTGACATGAAGTTTGTGACCCAATTGAAGGCGATTCAGTGAGAAAACGGGCAACCACCCTCTTGAAACTTCCCGTTTCTCCTGCGGTGAGAACCAAAGCATTGAACACTTCCACCGACAACACCGGGAACCAATCGCCCATCTAATTGGAGTATCCAAGTTCAGTGACGATGAAACTTTCACACCTTTGATGTTTAGGGGAGTGGGAGGCAGTGCAGATTAATCCGACATGAGAGGCATCAAGTTTTCTAGTAATTCATTTGGAGGAGGTGTCGGAAGTGGTGGTTCACCCTTTTCTATTAGCGACGATAGTGGTGGTGTGTTCATCTTCTTCAGTGGGGGTTCTCAACAGAACTCCATTAGTCTACATAAATCTATCTTCGATTTCAATTTCTTGTATCACCACATAATCGTTAATTGCAGATGTTGGACGATTTTTGTGACAAATGATGGTGGATTAGTGGCGGTGTTGGAACACAGGTTAAAGGGAATAATATAGGCAGCCATCGGTAGAAGGAAATGGGGAATTAGGGCTTTCCGGCGATGTAGGGATGTGTGTGTGTGTGTGAGAGAGAGAGAGAGAGAGAGAGAGAGCGCGCTTAATTGATAAGAGACTTTTGATGAGGTGACATTTTATTAACTTTAAACCTGCTGACTAGGAAGGGGTTCACCGGGTGACCCCTTCATTTTTTTTAAAAGGACTTTTTAAACTCTAAAAACATGAATTCGTACCCTTTAAAAGCAAAAATAAATCATGCTGAACCATTTAAACAAATATACGAAACATTGTTGGGCTACAGTGATAATAACCCTTAAATATATTTATCTTATTAACTAAACTATCTAATTTGAGGTTTGAACTCTCACGTTTGTTTGCTTTTATGCATCAAAAATTATTTAATATAAATATGTTCATTTTGCAATATGTATATACTATAGAAAATTAAATCTAAACAACGATTTTTTTTTGGAATAAATAAGAAATGTCTTGTCCCTACATAGCTGTCTGGGCCATCCTCAGGACGGCCTTTAAATTTACTATATATGGTACGTTAACACTTTTGCATACATCTTTTAATTAATTTTTTTTACGAGTAAAAGTCACCACGGCTAATCGGCTATAAACTCAAACCAATGAAGGTTTTTATATATCTATTTCTATTATATTAAATAAAGACTTTACAAGGGTCAAAGTCAACTCTCAATAAGTTCAAACTTCAAACACACCAGTCTTGATAACTTCAAAGTTCAAACTAGCTACGAAATCTTCATCAATGGAGGACAGAAATGCTAACATAATCGGCGGTATATCTATCATCAATCTCATTGTATTCATCATAATTGCCAGAATCATTCTCAAACTCACCGAACCGTTTTTCTTGATACTCGGAGCCTGTATCGCTGCTATCCTCGCCATCATCGTTTTCTACTTCATCAGGCGCCGTTTTCAAAGCAGGAGGCGGAATCTGGAGACTATAATTGCTTCCGAAGGTAAAGAGCTGCGAATCGAGTATAGTTTTCTCCGGAAGGTAGCCGGACTTCCGACGAAATTCCGGTCAAAGGAGCTTGAAGAAGCCACCGACAACTGGAAGTCGATGATCGGACAAGGAGCTTCGGGATCTGTTTTCAAAGGAAGCTTAAAGGATGGTACGGCTGTTGCGGTGAAGAGGATCCAACATGGAGAGGAAAGAGGGGGAAATGAATTCAGATCTGAAATTTCCGCCATAGCTAGCGTACAACACGTAAACCTAGTACGCCTCTTTGGATACTGCATTCAGAGTAACAATCTCCATTTTCTCGTATACGATTTCATTCCAAATGGCGCCTTATCGAACTGGATTTTCCCACGCTCTTCCTCCGCCGTGATTAACAACAATTGTGGCGGATGCTTGTCGTGGCAACAGCGATTGAAAGTCGCAACCGACGTAGCAAAAGCCCTATCCTACCTACATCACGATTGCCGGTCGAAAGTCCTCCACCTCGACGTCAAGCCGGAGAACATCCTCCTTGACAAAAACTACAACGCGATCGTCTCCGACTTCGGAATATCAAAGCTCATGAATCCAGACGACAGTAGAGTCCTAGCATCAATGAGAGGTACAAGAGGCTACATAGCTCCGGAATGGTTGCTCGGCCTAGGAATCTCGGAGAAATCAGACGTGTTCAGCTACGGTATAGTCTTACTAGAGCTCATCGGCGGGAGGAGGAGCGTGAGGTCGATTGACGTCGTCGACGGTAACAGATCAAAGAGGAAGTTTGAGTATTTTCCGAAGATGGTGACGGAGAAATTAAAAGCAGGAAAGATCATGGAGGTGGTTGATCAACGGTTGTTAGTTCTCGGCGACATTGATGAAAACGAAGTAAGAAAAATGGTGCACGTAGCGTTATGGTGCATACAACACAAGGCGAGACGGAGGCCGAGCATGGTGCAAGTGGTGAAGTGGTTGGAAGGGCTGGCGGCGGTGGAGCAGCCACCGGAGACTACGATGATGGTGGTTGACCTACTTGCTATAGGAAACGATGAACATGGTGACGAAGGGGGATGGCAGAATCGTAATAAAAGAAGAAAGCCAGGGGTTGTTGCTAGAGTAGCTTCACAAATAACTGGCTGCCTACCGTTGGCACCAATTTCAACAACGTCGGCATACAGGTCAAAATCGTTCACCTATACAATGTCTATAATTACTCCTAGATAGATACTTATTTTTCATTTTATTATTTTATTTCATTTTGAGTAAAAGTAAAACCGAAACGTGTCGTTTTTGAGTAAAAGAAACCCCTTTCGGTTTTAGGTTTTCTGGGTTTTTGATCATCATTTTTATATTATTTTTTTGGTGTGAAAACTGAAAAACTAGTATAACAACAGCTCAATTAAAGTGTATATGTAAAGTAATACAAAGAAAAGATAACGGGTTTCATGTTGCTAGTTTTCTGGTTGAAACATTCTTATCCAAAATTTCTGATTAGCTATAATAGGTTTTATTTAGTGTAATTTAACTGAATTTTATTATATTGTGATGTTTGGCTTAATTTTAAGATACATATACCATAACCACCATACATATATGAAACTCCCAACATGCAAAAACTATGCAACGTCGTACAAAACAAACGCGCTCCTACATAATGTTGTCATTTCATTCATTGTTTTCACAACCCTCCACATATACAAAGGCTTTGGAAAAGTACAAAATCAATCTCAAATCAAAATTCACAAAAGAGCTGCTTCTTTATGTTGTAATATTAGTCTTTATATAAGATTTTAACATTTTTTGT